CAAAGAATATGTTTGAATGCGAATAGTATTTATAAAGATTAGTTATGAATATCAAAAATATTTTTATCGGCCTAATAATTAAGAATACAGTAATATATTTTTCACGCATTTTCCNAACGAAAGTGCGAGTAAGGTTGTGTGAGCATTCATTTAATTTTAAATTTACATCCCAATGAATGATCATACAAATATACTTTACTATTGTAATGTTATAATCTTACTTTCACTTTTGTGCATAAGAGTGAAAAAATCAAATATTTTACTTTTAATGATGTTATGTTCGAAGTACAGTAATAAAAATTATTCTTCTGTTCATATTCTTCTGTTAATTTTATTGTGGAGACATCTTCTTGAACGCCGCAGAAATCGATATTATAACAATTTTCAAACCTTGCCAAAAATATAACACATCACATTATCATATACAATGGCTGCAAGTTCTCTAATACGTCCGTTTGGTCTTGAATCTTTCAGTAAAGCCGTTAGCTTCTCGGGACCTTTCTCTTTTACAAGCAGTTTGCAATACTTATGTGCTGTTGAAAAAACATTATAATTTCATTAAGTTAAATAGTTCTAATTAAATTGAGACCTCAAATACGTACGATTAGAGTAGGATTTGATATACTTACGGTAAACATTTGTAAGATTAGCAAGAGCCCAAACCGCCCAATGCTGGCATTCTGGTGTATGATATACATCTAGCAAACGCAATAATGGTAGAAACGAGCGATAATTGATATTACGTCCAGTACGTATATCCCAATGTTCAATAGCTTGGACCATAAGTCTTAACACTTCGTCTCGGCTCGGGCAAGGCACTGTCCATGCCTCTACACCATCGGATGCTATGTGAGCTAATACACCCGCTGCATTATATGGTATCTAAGATCAGACCACATATATTAAATATTCTTCATACATAGTTGGCAATCTAATTGATTCCAATTAGTATACCTCAATAACTTCACTGTCAGAATCTAATAAGCTTGCAAAAAGACTAATATACTGTTGCTGCGTTAAATGTACCCGCAGATGTTGCACCTCAGCTACATTACCCAAAAGTCCCATCATATTCTTCAATAATTCTTCTCTATGACGGTATTTCTGAGCAAACTTTATTTGTAAAAATTTAGTATTTTTTAAGATTATAATTTCATATAAACTTTGACAATACATACCTTGATACATTCATGAAACAAATTCATGCCATCTTCGTCAAGAAATCGTTCACAGTTTATGGGAGTCTCATCGGTCATATTCCACATAGTTGACCATGCCCCTTCAAGGACATCGTCAAATATATTTGATGTAATTCTACGCCTAATTAACTCAAGCATTGTCTTGATACAACCAAGGTTTCCTAACAAACGTTTTTCTCTGCCTGTTACTTGACACGATAAACTGTTTAAAAGAAATATCGCGATACGCAGTACGTAATCATCTTGTCGTACATATTTCGCGCAATTTAGAAGCAGTTTTACCAGTGTTTCATAATTTGACATCTTTCAAAGCATTAATGACATGGAAAAAAAGTAAACAAATTTTTACTTACAGAGAACATGCTACAGCAAAAATTAAATGTTATCAATTCAATTAATTTGTACATACAACATCCTGTGGTATACGGAATTGGCTCAATGTTAGACAACCATTACGCATCATAGTTTCCTCATTTTCATGGCTACTCATTCCAGCAAGGAGAATACGAACAATTCTTTCTTTCACTCTTGGTTCTATTTCATCTTTTTCTTTCATTTTTACAACATAGAACAATGTTGCACTGTAAAAAAGATGTATTTTGTATTCAGTTCTTTGGAATTCGTATTTTTTGATATGCAAAGTATCCTGAAATGTATAATTAAATACCTTCCCGATATTTGTATAGACTTTACTTGTGGATGTTTTTCCATTGCATCTAATATTACACAAAGACCTTGATCCAGTCTATGAAAGTTTTCATATCTATACACAAGATAAAGATCATTCAGTGCTTTTAATAATAAATCAACTTTATTATTCATGCAAACATTAGCAGCTACCAGTATTTGGTCTTCATTTGCATTTCCCGAAATCTAATAAGAAAAAACATGACTCATATATATCAAACACGTTCGAAGACAGCAAGTATAAACAACATATATTTTCCAATGTCATTTACCAATTTTGCTGGAATATTACGTAGTCTACATGCTCCATCACCTGTTCCATACAGCCCTAAAAACTGTAAAGGTCTGTTTACTCTAGAAGCAAGACCTGGTATATCACAAAGCTTATTGTTACTCATATCATCAGAGTCACAGAAAGATGTCTGTTTCACAGTTTGTACTGCATAATCTTCTTTATGTCCTGCTGCTAAGTTTGTACCACTTATATCCAAAGAAGTTAATTGTGGTAAACTATTAATTATATGTTGTAAAATATTAGGAATTGTAAATACTTTATGCCCAGCATTGGATTGGGAAATATCTAAGTGCCTAGTTGTAAATATTATAATGTTAATGTTAGATACTCGATATTAAATATTATGCATTATTTTAAAACAATCATAAATACCTTAATTTCTTTAAATAACCAAGATTCCCAATAAAATCTTGCTCCCATTTATTGATGCTAACATTGTATAAAACTAAAGATATTAGGTTTGGGAACAAGCTAAAGAACTCGAAACCGATTATTACATTATTAGAGAGATCTAGATGCGTTAAGTTTGGCATTCCAGCAAATAATAAATAATAGTCTGGAATATGTTTTTTATTAATGTCCAAAGCCAAACTTCGTAGATTTGGTAGTTTAAACACATATCCTCGCATCTTGTATTCTGATAATCAAA